AGTTACTTTTTATTCGTAATTCATCTATTGTCCATGCTCGTCCTTAAAAGGTGAAAAAAACTATCATCAGATATATAAATATTCAAATATTCAAAAACATACTTAAAATATATTTTTGAAAAATAAAAATAGATTTCAAAATGAAAAAGTATTCTTGGCAGACTTTGCAGCAATTTGGCATAGAACTTTGAAGGCATTCATACTATATATCAATTAGATTTCTATCACAGACCAGATAACAGAAAATCCCATTTGCTCAAAATATGAGTTAAACTTAGCATTCCATGTTACATATTTAGAGTATTTTATTTATGGCACTGTATATTTTGTCTTTCAGTTTTTTTATATTTTCTTTTCAATTCATCTTTCCATACCTTGGTGAACAAAGAATAATTAACACCTGTTTCAGATATGACCTTTACTTCCTATTAAAAACGCTTATTCGTTTAATTGAAAAATGCTATGTAGATGAGGGCTAGCTGTCCAGAAGGATAGATGCCTTTAAGAAGGATAGTCTAAGGAAAAGTCACTTATGTCACACATGGGAAAAATCAATAACCAGCCAGCCTGTTCACTATGATTATAACCTGGGTCATACTACACCAGTATTCAGCAATCAACCACAGATGGGTACTGCTCCCATTAAAATTAATGTGAATTATATGTTGCTTTCCTTGAATTACTGAATTTATTACTTTCACATATCTTGGTAATTAACTGATTTGTAACAATTATTCAAAAAGTAAATACTTAAGACTTAATTTAAACAGCAGTGATTATTAATATTTGATTTTAAAAATAGAATTTTTGTCCATACAGAGAACTCTCAATTTTACAAAGCTACGTGGATAAAAAGAGACATTGAAGTCATTGCAATGTCTGAAGTCCATTATCTTATTTGATTCTTCATTGAAACTGTAATCACTGGACTGCGACCAACCATTCCAAAGATACTCACTCATTCAACTATTTTAAACATCATGTATATGGCAATTATACACAAAACATCTGCAAGCTTACAGAAGTCTGTATATGTAAAGAAAGCTCAGCAATGACCATTAAACTATATTGTTTGACATTAAAACTACAATACTAAGAAAGAAGTAGCCCATCAGTGTGAAATTTGCACAATAAGAAAACATGAAATGACACCAAAAAAAAATTATTTAATTGCATAGCATGTAAATAATGTATGTCTAAAATGTCATTTAAAATCAGCATAAATGAAAAGACAGGTTTTTCCATATAGAAATCATGTTTCTTTCTTGTTGCTTGACTAGAAGTGTAGAGTATGCCTTAGATAAGAAGACAGAGCATGCAACAGCATGTATCCAAATGCGATTACAGGAGAATAATAAATGTACTACAATTGCAGTTTCTCATATCACAAAATTACTGCTTATGGTGAGCAAAATCTGAGATTGTCAAGCAAATATATATTCATCAAGTCCACATAAAACAGACAAAGCAACACACAGGCTCATAACCTCAATGCACCAATGCATTGAGGTTGCACATTGTGTGCAAGACAGGCACATTGTGTGGATGGCTCACAGTATAGAATGAAATTGAATTTTCATGCCAATCATATCTGTCTAGCTACCTCATGAGTCAGCATTACATTACAAATGTATTAAGGCCTCCGGTTGTCCACATCTATAGGTGCATCATAGAACCACTCATTAACAAGACAATGCATGAACTCTAATTGTACTCAACATCCAACACTACATCAAGGTAATCTGATTTTTATCCAGCCTTAGATGGTATGTTATCAGTTCCTTATTTGACTAAATTCATCTGATTTAAAGTGTCATACATAATCAGGGCTAGATTTACGTATTAGCTACACAAGCTAAATTGTCCCATATCCATTTAGAAAGGCCTCATATCCCAAATAGCTTAGGGCCTTTCAAGCCTAAATCCAACCCTATGCACAATGATGCAACAAAGACCACTAGCGGCTATAAAAGATAAGCTTTGGTAATAAATTATAGCTGTCTAATATTAAGACAATTTTCAGTGCAAAATAAATTCTACTTAGCATAAATTATACTTCTTGTATTATTTCTGAATTGTTTTTGGATGTAGTTCAAGCATAATTACAATTTTGAACACATCAGCAAAATGATATTATATTACATGCAGACCTAGTTGTAAGAGATATAAAAAATATTAAACTAAAACATACAATTACATATAAAAATAAGTTTAAATCTATAAAAAAAAAAATGAATTCATATAAACTAATACAGCAATACTTCAGTTCACAAACTTGATCTATTCATTATGATAGTTTGTATTCGTTCGATTCATTATGATAGTTCGTAAATTAAGAAGTTTTTCTTTAAGAATTAATGTAAAATGGATTAATCGACTCCAAGACTCCAAATAACTTACAAAAAAGTACTTTGCACACAAGTTCATAATAAAAAACCAATGGTATTCATAAAAATCAAACTCATATGCAATATGAACGGAAAAAAACAATGATATTCATAAAATTAAACTCATATGTAATATAAACAAACGCAAAACTTGAAACCTAAAATAAGTTTTGTTCTGTCTATACAAAGGAGGGTTGGTGGTTAAGTTAAAAATAAATAAATAAATAATTAAAAATAAGGAAGGAAGGAAATGAGCAAAATGTTATTTGAAAGGGAAACACAAATTTCCATGAAAATACCAGATAACAATTTCTCCACTTCAGTTGTCTCCCTTGAAAAGCCAAAATGAGCTTCAAATTGGGCTAAATTAACCATTTTCCACTTCTTAATTTTAATATATTTTTTGTATTTTACCTTGATCAATTGATTAGTATTTTACTGTGTTTTATAATTTACTTTATATTTAGCATATAGACTATTATTTTACCTCATTCAATTGATTTGTTTTTTTTACTGTGTTAAAATTTCCTAATTTGTTTAGCATACAGCTTTTTTATTAATTTAACTTGAAAATATTCAAATATTTTTCCTCCTCTTTCACACTTTTCATAGCAACTAAATATGCTTATATTGGAGTTTTCTCGGAGACACAGTTTTTGGTAACTTTTCGGCGAGCTTACTAAAATTTATCTTCTAATTTTCTTAATTTTGCAGCACAATGCGCAAAATTTTTACCTAAATTGGTCTTTTTTTTCCTTTTTTTTCGTTTGTTCTTACAAACCTTACTTATAATATATATAGATATATATATATATATATTAATTACAGTAAGAAATGATGGACAGGGTCACGTCACGATGGGTGTTGCATGGAAGTTAGAGAGCTCTTTAATTTACTTTTATTTTGTATTTATAAGTTCATTTGAATTGTGACTTTGTGTGTTTTAGTATAATTTAAATGATATTCCATCTACTGTGACTTTATATTTGTGATTTTGAGTGAAAGTGGAAAAATAATGAATGTTTTTGTATTGCCTGGTGCTAAGCCAATTAGGCTTAGAGTGTGTTTTGCATCATTTCCGAGCTTGTACGATTTTGATGTATCATGATTCCAAGTTTCCATTGGGAAAAGAAGCCCTGCTGCTGAGTGCATCATTTACTGTAGTCTTTGTACCCACTGGGTGATTTGTGGATTTCATGCATTTGAACTTCTTTCAGTGTTATTTTCAAGACATAATCACAAGATCATGTGCTCCCCCTCACCAGGGTTCGTACGCATTTCTGCACACGGAAATTAAGTACTTTTAAGGACTTTTAAGGGCCATTAATGAAAAAAATTAAGGACCTATGAGCAAATAGGAACTGAATAAATTCAATTAAAAATATTATCTATGTCTGAATTTCACTTTTGTAACACTATCCTAAAAATAAAATAGATCCCTAAGTAGTATGCATTATTATTAAACATGAATTGATGAACATAATTATTAATAAGTTTGAGAATAAAATAAACTTTATGCAATTTATCAAGCAGCATTAAATATTTTACACTTATAATAGTTGGTCATATTTTAAAGAATATGACCAACATTTATATTTTACTAACAGTTAGCTTTATGTTGATTTTTTTATGTCTCATTTTGTCATGTAAAATGAGAAGTTCATAATCAGCATGATTCATAACAAGACTGAATGTTGTCACTGCTGCTGCTTGTCTAGAGAGACCTGCTGATTAGAACAAACCTGAATAGCCTGATGTAGGCACGGTTGGCAAGTGTTGAAAGTTAGGCTCTGTTTGATGCAGTTAGTGTCGTAGCTTCGCGTACAGTTCGAGGGGTTGTAACCCAGTTAATATACTTTAAGGTTCCAATAAGGCATTAAAGCACCAGAGGTGATAAGTTTTTTGTATTATTTTAAGTCTCAGTAGATGCAAAGAATAAGTTTTTCTCGAATTTTTACATTTTTGTATTTTATCTTGTGACCACAGTGAGTATTAATGAATGGCAATAACATACAGAGATGATTTTTAAGGGTAAGTAGTTAGTTATAAATAATTAAATTAGGTAGTTTGATAACCTTAGTCATTATGTATTTACATGGCCACTATTAAATTTTATTTTTTAACAATATTTGTTAAAAAGCCCTATTAAAATCAAAATCTAATAAAATTTCACAGTTTAAAATACATGTAATTTATGACATTGATTCTTAAACGCTATTAGGATAATTACACACTAAAAGCTACAAAACACTTATGTTTTGTAACAACAACACTCAACAAAATATTTATCCGTCATTTCAATTGGAAGCCTTCCCAAACATTTTGGCTAGTTTATATCAATTTCCTTCACTTTAAGCATCTTTTCTAACAATTAGAGATTTGTCTCAATATACAAAAAAATGCTCTCGCTAGTTTCTGTGTGCTTTATCACCTAACTTGTCAACCTCACCACAATGTACCTATGAGGGTTTACTTGATCTGGTAAAAGTTATATAGTCCAAAACTTTCGACAGACGTGAAGGATATTATTGCTATGTCTGAAAATAACTACAATATCAGACAAAGGCTTAAATAAGCCTCTTATTTAAAAAGAACTGTCTCTACTATAGCTCAAAGGAAAAGAAAAATATCTAAAAGCGATGAAGAAAAGATCTT